GGAGCATCGTGTTTCAGCAGAAGTACTGTAGCGATCGAAGAATCGAAATGGACTACCATAAATAATGGAAAATAGGATATCTGCAAATAATCAAGGGTCCTACCACAACTCCTTTCGCGTCTTCTGACAGAGACACTAGCTCGCCAATGGACGGATTGAGCTCCTTGCTGCGGACTTTCAGCATGTTCGGGCTTGACGCCACCACCTACGGCCAAACATTTGAAGTACGCGCCCTTTACCGTGATAACGAATCAAAAGGCCTCCGACAGCAGTGGAGAAGAGCATACAAGGTCCAGCAGACGATTCAAATGAAACTTACCGTGATGTCGCCAGCCTTAGCCTCTAGGGCGCTCTGCAGACCTTGCACTGTCTCAGGGATACTGGTAGCAAATCGCCGCCGAGCAAGAAGGACCTGAGCAGCCCTTGGCAGGGTTACACTCGACCTCAACCATAGTCGTGTGGATACTAGTCGACTTAACATTATTAGATGAAAGGAACACGCGCTGCCAAGACAAAATTGCGAAACATGTTCGCAAAATCAGCGGAACGATGTGGAACAAAGCAGAAAGAGTTGTCGTTCGCCATCGAATAGTCTCCACTGATCAAGGGATAAGCAGTGGCACATAGAGGTCTCTCACTGGGTATACGGCGGCTTCCACTAAACGGTCTTTAGAAGGCTTAAGACTCAACGATGGTCCATGCGATGGACTGCTCCGGTGGCTCTAATGAGCATCCATTCTGTCCGACAAGCATAATGGTCAAAGGGTCTTTTGCGTACAATAAGTTTTCTAGCGGTGAAGATTCCAGGTCATGTGAGATTTGTCCCTTATCAGCGTAGTTGATGTCACTCGCGCCTTCCGTCAGTTGATTGACTTGATTTTCATTGGGAAATGGGGAGGAAGGACGATAGACGAAGTCGCAGTAAAAGCCACGAGAATAAGTGGCGATCTGAAAGGGAAGAATCCACTCGTGAAGATGGAGAGGAAAATCAGGAGCCCGGGTGAGCTGCCTTAAGGGGTACATAGTATAGTTAACAGCATTTGACAGTTACTTGGGTAGTCTCTCACTAGAGGAACGCATGGAGTTGGAAAAGAAAAAGGTAAATCTTGGTCTGTCTATGGTGATCACTTTGGTTGTCATCAGGATGAGGCTGGACAGAAACAGTACGCCAAGGCTTTCATCGAGAAGGAAAAGAGAGACCAGTGGGAGCAAAACCGTAATAATATCATCAACTCTGAAAGAGGGAGCAGCGACTGTAATGCTCGTCGTTTGCAGAAAAATGGCAGGAGCGGCGCAACCACAGGGCTGTCGTCGCTGCTAGTGCTAAAGAGGAACGTGTGATGAGGGAGAACTACGTCATTTTCACCGGGGAAAAGGGAGAGGAAAACTACGTTGAGGGTAGTAGTCGATGATTATGTGTTGATCGATATGGCTTTGACCCAGGGGAAGAGGCAGGGTGGTACTACTGTCGTCTTTGTAAGAAGAAGTCGGCCACTTTTGAGATGCTCGAGATTCATATTGGCTCTAAGGTGCTGATCTGTGCTCAGCCTTTCCTGCGTTATATCGTGATCCTAGCAGGACCACGCGAAGCGAGTCAGCTGCCCTGAATGGTATGTTGTTGACGTGTTGCCTCCTAGGCCAGGTGAATCAGTAATGCTGTTATAGCTTTATTCAAGAGTTCACATTGGAGTGGTATTCAGTCTAC